CCCAGGAATCTACTGGGTTCTCCCCCTTTGAGCTGCTGTATGGGAGAAGGGTCCGCGGACCCCTAGATCTCATTAGAGGCCACTGGGAGGGGGAGACGGAGCAAGAGGGGACCCCCATTGTGCCATATGTTCTGGAACTCCGGGACCGCATGGAGAAGCTGTCCCTGATGGTAAGGGAGAATCTCCAGACAGCCCAGGGGAGACAGAAGAGATGGTATGATCAGGGTGCCCGACAGCGGGTCTTCCAGGTTGGGCAAAAGTTATTGGTGCTCAAACCTGTGAAGGCCAACAAGATGCAAGCATCTTGGCAGGGCCCGTACAAGGTAGTGGCGCAGATCTGCGACACTACTTACTTGATAGCCAGCTGTGCAGATGAGAGGATCCAGCGGTCCTTTCATGTGAACATGCTGAAAGAGTACCAGGAGAGACCTGAGAATATTGCAGCAGTATGTGCCCCAGCTGCAGATGATTCTGAGAATTTACCCCTTCCCGATCTATTAGAAAGGGATTCCCAGACTGACCTTACTACCTTGGTACAGCTAGGGGACCGGTTGAACCCCACAGAAAGGGTACAGGCGCAGCAGTTGTTATGGGAGAAGCAGGCGACGTTCTCCCAGGAACCAGGTTATACCACCCTAGCTGTGCATAAGGTAGAGACCCCTGGACAGACCCCGTTACGACAGCCCCCCTATCGTATCCCTGAAGCAGTCCGTGAAGGAATGCGGAAGGAGATACAGGAGATGACCCAGCTTGGAGTCATCGAGCACTCCGACAGCCCTTGGGCCTCGCCTGTAGTCCTGGTGCCCAAGAAAGATGGGACCACCCGGTTCTGTGTGGACTACAGGCGACTCAACGAGCGGACCACCACTGACGCCTACCCAATGCCCCGGGTAGACGAATTACTGGATCGTATTGCCAGGGGGCGATATCTGACCACCATAGACCTGTGTAAGGGCTACTGGCAGATCCCCCTGGCCGAGGATGCTATCCCCAAGTCGGCATTTGTCACCCCATTTGGCCTGTACCAATTTAAGGTCATGCCTTTTGGGATGAAAAATGCACCGGCTACCTTCCAACGGATGGTGGATAGACTCCTAGATGGCTTCCAAGAATTTGCCTGTGCATACTTGGACGACATTGCGATTTACAGTGGGTCCTGGGAGGAACACCTGGTACATGTAGGGGTAGTGCTGGATAAAATTCGGGCCGCTGGCCTGACATTGAAGCCAGAAAAGTGCCATCTAGGTATGGCTGAAGTACAGTACCTGGGTCACAGAGTGGGGTGCGGGAGTCAGAGACCAGAGCCAGCCAAGGTAGAGGCAGTGGCTAACTGGCCCACACCTACTACTAAGACCCAGGTATTGGCCTTCTTGGGGACGGCAGGGTACTATAGACGTTTTGTCCCTGACTACAGCGCTATTGCTAAGCCCCTGACAGACCTGACCAAGAAAAACTTGCCTAAGCAGGTCCTGTGGTCTCCGGCTTGTGAAGCTGCGTTCCAGGCACTGAAGCAAGCTCTTGTAAATGCCCCTGTCTTGGCAGCCCCAGTCCCTAACAAACGCTTTCTCGTCCATACAGATGCTTCCATGTATGGACTGGGGGCTGTGTTGAGCCAAGTCGGGGAAGATGGAGGAGAGCACCCTGTCGCATATCTCAGCAGAAAGTTGTTACCCAGAGAAGTGAGTTATGCGGCAGTGGAGAAGGAGTGTTTGGCCTTGGTCTGGGCATTGAAAAAGTTAAGCCCCTATTTGTATGGACAAGAATTTTCACTTGTGACTGATCACAACCCACTCGTTTGGCTTAACCGGGTCTCAGGAGACAATGGGAGACTGCTGAGATGGAGCTTGGCCCTACAGCCCTACAATTTTACCATCAGCTACAGACCCGGTAAGCTGAACGGGAATGCAGATGGGTTGTCACGACAAACAGACGTTTCCCTCACCTCGTAGTCCGGTCATCCCCAAGTTGACCCGCCACAGGGTCAAGCCGGGTCTGCCGGAGTGTCCCACAAGGAGGGAGCCGTGTGACAGAACCATCTGTCTGCTTGGATTTTTACTACGTTCGTCTGTTTGTCCCCCGTTCGTATGAATGGCTGGTTTCTATAGCCCAGCCATTCGAATGACTCTTTTTCCCGAACAAACCTGCCGAACGAACGGCCACCCAAGTGAGGAGTGTGCTGCTGGTTAACGAAGTGATCCCAATTAGAACGTTGTGGTTAACCGCAGACACTTCTCAATTAAACCGAATTCAGGGTGGTCGTCGTTCGTATGTCGACCACGAGGCAGCGGCCATTTTAAATCAAGCGAACGCCCAGCGGTGTTTGGCTCTATTTCTATGGAACTGAAAACGGACACTTTTTCTGCCGAACACCGCTGAAACAACGGAACGCCTGGCTGCCTCCACGAAAGCATGCGAACACCGGCCGTTCGGGAGATTGAGAGCATACGAAAAGACTTAACCCAGATAGCCTTCCCATGGAGTCATTCGTATACCGAAAGACTGTAAGAACTTTGACTCCATGGCGATTGAACTATGTGTGTGGGATCTGAGCGCTATTCGCTAATAATATGCACTCAGATCCAGGCTATCTGGGGACATGTAATACGAATGGGAAATGTTCAGTTTTTATGTAGTTATATATTTTTATGTCTTTTATTATTTTATGTCTAAGATGGCGACTGGCTTTGTCCTGGAGTTAATTGAGTTACTTGGTAATTAACTCCAGGGCAGAGAGGAGGGAATCATAATGCACTGTGGGTAAAATCTGTGACTGTGTGTCTGGGATGTCCCCAGATCTGTCTGTAATTTAAGTCTCCCATTTGGTCCCCTAGGGGAGTGTCCACCAAGTGGGAGACCTGCATAAATACGGGCAGGTAGCCCACAGTAAAGCCAGATTCTGTTTGACCCTCAATGCGGAGCTTCTGTCTCGTTATTGGGGGGATTTCTTCTTCACGTTTAGAGACTGCTGGATGGAACGAAAGCCGCTTGGGGAATATTGCTGTTCGACGGTTACCAGCAGTTCGTGTATTGCCGTTCGGGAGTTTGGAGCCGTTCACGGATCTCGTTCGGGAGATTGCCGCTTCCCCTGCATTTGGTTCGTGTGTTACAGAGTAAGCGAACGGAGACTGTACTGCAGCCGGGGAAGGTCTACTAAATGGCAGTTTGGCTTAAAGACACTAGAGGTGTCTTAACACTGAGCTTAGCTGCTGCTGGCCTTGGTCCCTGCAGCTTGTCCAAGGGGTGCTGCTCTTTAGAGAAGCTGACAGGGGACTGTATGGGTTTTACCCCACTGTGGTTTATGTTCATAGAGGGAATGAGCTGAGGGAGAGCAGATTCCCAGGACATTACGAGGGCACTTGCTTTGGTGCCCCCTGGCTCAGCTCTTGATGTAAAGTATGCTTGTAAATGCTGGTGTTTGCATTAAGGCTAGATTTGTATGGCATTTCAAAGTGTGTGTGTGTGGGATTATCAATAGAGGTGTTTTTCTGCAGTGTGTCACTTTGTGTGCATGCCTGATTGTATTTGTGTGAAGGTTTGATGAGTCTACTCATCTTTTATTCAGTGTTTGTGTCTCTCACCATACCCCCAATTCCTTCAAATTATCCTCCTCCTCCCCACGCCCGCCTCTGGTACCTACTCTGCTATCTGTGCCCCATCTTACCTTGCGTTTCAGTCCGTTCAGGCTGACTCCCTGTCCTCCCCTGAGCAGCATGTCGCTGTAAGCATCACAGCTGCTCCTCCTCCTTCACACATGGGGTGGGCGCTCTGTATTTGTGATGTCACTCCCTATCCCTTCGTCTTTTCCAACACAGCACTCCCGCTGGTGGAATTGGTCTCAATGACATTGCTGCCTTGATGCTGGGCTCCCCAGCTCGGCTATTGCTGCTCTGGGCTGGACTGTCACGGGCCCTCGATCCATGACCGATGTGCCCGAGTGGTCAGTCCGCCCCTGGATATATCCCTCAACGTGTACGACAAGCCTTTCTTGAAATGACAATGTAATCAATGGAATTATGATTGTAGATTGAATACATTTATTTGCAAGGTATATTTCCTTTTTGCCTACTTTATTACACACCTACCGCATTGTGTGTTCTGGAACACCATAACTGACTTTTCATATATTATGTGTTATGTCTATACTATCTCAAGCACCTTCGCTCATTACGCCATTGGGCCCTGAACACCAATAGAAAGGCTGGGCCTCTGGTAGTGGGAGGGGCTTGGGTCTCCTTTAAAGGGACTCCTATCCTGTCTCATACACCGTTACTTGGTCTGGCGAATTGCATGCCCCTCCCACAACTCCCTTTATTCCCATCATTTACTTAATACTACTGCATCATCGGTCCCGGCATACCACAACCGATCTGACATATATTCTGTGTTATGTCTATACTACCTCAAGCGATTTCACCCATTACGGCATTATGCTCTGAACACAAATATATTTGTTTATTTTTAAGATACATTGAGATTTCGCTTGTTTTCAAGTATGTCCTGGGTCCACAAATCATTGCATTGATCCAATAGGGTACAATAAAATACAAAAACAATATTAAAACACAATATATACAAAATGTAACATAGAACAGGCAGGAAATATATATTTACAAACAAACTTGGACTCGGGTCTGTATTAATTTCTCCCGGGTGCTAGATAAATAGCCTCAATAAATATATCCAAAAAAAGAATAATCTTGTAATAATGTAACTTCCTCTATTGTTTCCTTAGAGTTGCTTAATTAGTCGATCAGTTGGCATTTAAATTCCAGTTCTTTCCTCGGGACAATTAAAACTGTTGTAATTGTCTGAACTGAAACTGAAACGTCAACTGATCAATTATGCAATTTGAAAAAAGCAATAGAGGAACTCACACTTTGAAAGACTGTGACAGCAGATAATTCTTTTTTTGGAAATATATATTTAGACTGATCAGCCAGCCACGACATTAACCCCTTAAGGACCAAACTTCTGGAATAAAAGGGAATCATGACATGTCACACATGTCATGTGTCCTTAAGGGGTTAATGCCATCTGTGTTATATGTCTATAGAACCTCCCTACAAGGTCTCCGGTAATGTGACCATGTATCATCATTGGGTTTTTCACCTACAGTGGTGGGTATTGGCACCTATCACCTTTCGTACACATTTCACACGGCCCCATGTATATCGATAACAGTGGAGGACGGGAACGGCAGTCGTGACGTAAATGCTGCGCTGTCTTAAATAAAGCAGTTGTTTGTTTGTGTAAACCGACCAAAGGCTCCTTTTATCTGTGGATATTTATAGATAAATGGACTTAAATGAGATGGAAGTCTGATGGTTACACGTATTTTGTTTTTGATTCTCTCCAATCATTTTAATCTGACCCAGATTTTCTAATTTACTAATAATTTAAAGGGGTGGAGCGGAGCCAGCACCGGATCGAGTCGGGGGCACGTCGTGTGAGTTCAGTTATCGGCATACAGCGATTTCTGGCGTGATACACCCCGAACGTGGAGAGCTTACCTCCCCGATACTGATTGGGAAGAAGTCCAAGATAGACCGGGCTGATCCAGATCCTGAGATATCGGGACATTACTCGGCCAGCATGCCAGGCCCAAGAATGCCAAAATGGCGTCGCAAGCTGCCGCTAAGCCTGTTACATCCAGGATACTTCCCCCCTTACAGGCAAACGAGTTATAAGCTGATATTCATATGACTTTTCATAATAGCTGATGATAGCTACTGTTTTATATTTTTTAAGTTCTGCTGTACACTTACAGCGTGTTGTTGGATTTATATATATTTTAAATTGTGCCAATTGCTCAGCATTTTCTAATAATCTTGCTGTGCCGAGAATATGTCATACTGTTACCCTATATTTGTTATGTGATGAACAGACTGCAAAAATAAAGAATGTAAAAAATAAATAATTATTATAATAATTTAAAAGGAACACTACAGTCACCAAGACAATTTCAGCTTAATGAAGCAGTTTTGGTGTATATATCACACAGTGACTGGCACAGCCTACATGAAAACAAATTTGTTTCATTTTCAAGCAGATGTAACTTTAAAAGTTATCTCCTGCTCTGTAAATTGAACTTTAATTAGATACTGGAAGCCCCTGCAGGGTCTAGCAGGCTATTAACAGGCACAAGATAAGAAATTCTAAATTAAAAAGAATTTGGAATAAAGGAAGTGTAAACATTAGATGACTCTTTACAGTAAGTGTTTAGGAAGGCTGTGTAAGTCACGTGCAGGGAGGTGTGCCTATGGCTGTGTAAACTGCTTCATTCAGCTAGAGTTTGACTATAGTGTCCCTTTAATAATAATAATAATAATATGAAATCTCTGCTTTAATGTATTTGCATGTTATATATTCACAAAATGGCTCTCAGACATTGTAGTAAAATAGAACTTCTCTTTACTTCAGTACACACACATAATGACATAACACACACACATAATAACATAACACACGAGAGACTAACACAACAGAACAAGTGCATAACGTCACTATGCTGTCATCTACTGGAAGGTGGACTACATAACACCCCAATACATAACATCTGCTAAGTTCAGATATGTTCAGAGACTGGTTTTAATGGGGATTGCTTGTAATCCTTGACGTTTCCAGAGGCTTCTGGGTCATTATAATTCTAACAGTGAGGCACTAACTTTTAGACGGTCAAATGGGGATAAGCAAGGTCTTCAGCCTTTGTAAGCCCTCCCCTTCTAGCCCCGCCCATATTTTCTGTGTCTGTCCAATCACAGACTTCCCAATGACAAGTCTTTACAAGGCAGGTGCTCTGGGCAATTGGTGCCTCTTGAGTTTATCTCCACTGACCTAACCAAACCAGGAAGTAATCGGACCATGTGTCTGATTGACAGCCAGGGGGTGTAAATCTGCAATTTTTGTAAAATTCATACATAAAGCACTGCAGCATGCGCAACTGCTTCAGGGGTCTGGAGTGTCCCTTTAAAAACATTTCCGTCCATAGATATTTTGAATATTGGTGTTTATTTAATTTTATTGGGATTTATTTGAAATATCAATTTATAACCTTAACCCGTTAAATAGGAGCCTGGGTACTTACCTTGTGCAGCCTGACAACCCAAGCAATCCCCTTGCAGCCAATTCAGCCCATCTGGACCATGTGATTGCGATGACATTATGATCACATGACCAGATCAGCAGTGAACATCACTCCATGCACTTGGACTGCCTGGGTTGTCAGGCAGTCCTCCAAACATGGAAATAAATGTCATTAATGTATTTTAATGTTAATATATCTAAAAAATTATTTTCCCAGCACCCCTCCTGAGTGGTATGTATATTCCTCATTCTGACGTCCTCTACCAGAAGCCTGGGAGTCTGAGTGTTCTGCGCTGTATCTCTTTTGGACAGCGATGTCGGATGTCGGCACTGTGTATGTATGTGTAGGTATAATATATATTTAATTCTACGTGCATATTTGTGTTCTTACACGTATATTTTTACCTAAATATATAATTTTATTAATTATCTACTGCCTAACAACCCAGGCAGAAAGTCCAGAGAATTTAATTTGCAAGCCCAATATTTGACCCTGAAACTTTCCGAGACCCGAGCAAACCTGCTTTTTGAGGAGTATTTTTATATTTTCAGGAGACTTCCTGAGTATAATGGGAAACTGAACACAAATCTGTGAGTTTCAAAACAGTAATGATGACGCTATCATCATTGAAATTTTAGTTTTTGTGTTAAAGATGCAAAATAAAAAATAAAAAATATTAACACTAACTTTGGCCAGGACTAAGTGGCTACTACAAAAGACTGGACATAATCCATTTTGAGTACCCTGGGTTGTCTAGATCTGCAACTGGTATGCTATGATCGGGATAAATTTCATTCCTGGCTACTATACGGTCTCAAAAGGCAACATAGGCCCAGCAAACCAATCTGCTAAACTGAAATGGGAGGGCCCTATATTTGGCCTTGAAACTTTCCAAAACCCCATAAAACCTGGACATTGGGGGGTGCTGTTGTACCCGTGAGACATCGCTGAACACAAATTTGAGTTTTTTAATGGAGTAAAATGAATAATGATGATGATATCATTGGTGAAAGGGCAGTTTGTTTGTGAAGAATGCAAAAACCAGATATGAACGCTAATTATGGCTAGGGTTTGTGACTAGAAAAGACTACACCCCATTTTGAATACCCTGGTTTGTCTACTTTTGTAAATGGGGTCAAGATGGGGTTAATTTTAATTCCTGGGCTGCCATAATGTCTCAAGGGCAACATAACCAACCAGGCAAATTCTAATGTGCAAAAACTGAAATGGGGAACCTGTAACTTTCCACACCATCATGAAAGCTGTACGTCGGGGGTACTGTTGTACTCGTAGGTCATCGCCGAATACAAATATGTGTATTTTATTGCAGTAAAAGCTAACAGTATTATGACATTCACAGTTAAAATGTCACGTAGAACTTGGAAAATAACATTTAGTAATTTTGCTAACATTTTTATATTTTATTCATATTACATTATGTTTTAGATATAAATATTTGATGTGATTGAAAGCCTGAACAAAATCATATAGGTGTGGGTGCACTTAATATAAAAGAGGTAAATTATGTTTGAACAGATTTATGGCTCAATCTCTAGGTTTTTCTTTGGTCACAACTTTTACAATTGCCTCCGTCCTTAAGAGGTTAAGTAAGCCCATTAACAATTACAGCGATTATTACATATATGTGATATAGAATTTTTGCCACCTGACCTGGGTCTTCCATTTGTTAAAAATATACAACTTAGAATTAGAATTGTGAGCAAAAAAAACCACAGGGTGCTAACACAATATCGCATACACCTTAGAAGGTGCAACTGAATATAAATGTAATTATGAGCAACCTTCATGAGGAGTCAACAAGACAACTGGTAATTGTTCCCATGTGGACCCAAGGGTGCCTCTCCAGGCAAAAGGAGACCACAAATACATGGATCTTGTAACAATATGTAGAATCGACAGCTTGCTTTGCAAGATCCGGAAGGAGTAACGTTATTGTGACAAAGTGTGAATAAAATTAATAAAATACAGAAGCCTGTAACAGCGAGCAATGTTACAATCCGTATTTCACCATGCAGTCCTTTATGAATATAAGCAGACGCGTTTCGACTCGCTTCTGAGTCTTCCTCAATGCTTGAGCTGTAACTTGTAGTAGCTGCTGTTTAAACAGCCGGCATAGACACACGCCATGCGACGGCTCTGTAATGTCTTTCACATGGGAACAATTACCGTTTGTCTTGTTGAATCTTCATGAAGCTTACTGATAAGTATATTTGTATTCAGTTGCACTTTATAAGGTGTATGTGATATTGTATGTTAGCATGCTGTGTTTATTGTGATCACTATTATGGGTGTTGGGAAAGCACCATTGTACATCATATCGTGCAATATTAATTCACTTGAAGCACCAGCGCTCTTGTGTTATAGCTCCTTAGAATTAGAATCATTCCACAATAATTTAAGGTTTGTTCAGGGTATCATCTTCGGTGAATATCTTCTGCAATGACTGTGCCGTTTCTCTAACCTGCTCGAGGGCTCGGAGCCTCGCCTGGTTGCCAGGCTTGGCTGCCTCTTTCTCGGATTGTATTATAAGCGTTATGTGATCTGGAAACTGAAAGAAGTCGTTTTCTAACACAATCCCATACAGATCCTCCAGATTTCTACAGTACTGATGTATAACTTCCTCAGTAGCTTTTTTTATCGTGGATAACATTTCTTGAAGGTAACTGAGTTCCTCGCTCAGTCTCTCGATCTCCTGGCAGGATTTATGGTAAGTTTGTGCTTTTTGACCATCGGTGAGTTGTACACTTTGTTTTACCTTCTCAGATGTGTGCCTTTCGATAAAATGAGTTTGCCAGCTGCATTTTCCTGGGCAGTTTAGGCAACTCCCCTTTTTATCCATTGAAGAACATTTGGACAGGTCTTCACTGGTGACGTTACATGTGCAGGGGCAGTGGCAAATGAAGTCACATTGCAAACAATTAATTACACCATTATCAATGGGCATCACGGCATCTACATAGGTCTCAATCTCACTTGTGAAGTCTTTATTTGTAGCCTGAAGAAATATGTTTGCTTGCAGAGCTCTCTGTGTGGTTCTTATTTCAACCACTTTTGAAAGCCCAGCTTTGATTAGTGACTGCAGATGCTGCAATGTGTCCTTTACTCCTTTCTGTTCATTGAGCAACTCTCTGGTAATCCTAAAACCTTTAGCCTCCTCAGTGTTCAGCCACTGGAAAAACACCCTCATAGCTTCCTCACCCACCGCCCAAAACTTGTGATTCAATTTAGTTTCATTCTCAGTGTTCTCAGCAAACAGTGCAGAATTATTAAATTTGAAGTGTTTGGGGTCCCCCCTACTGTCCAGGGAGCAAGGAATATCTGCTGCTTTAATTGCCTCTAGTACTGGAGGCCTATCACCATCACAGAAGGTAATAAGAAAAAATATACTGTCTCTGGTCAAGTTTCCTAATAAAGAACACACAAAATCTAAAATGTATTTTTGGGTGGGAGTAAGTCGAGCTAAAGAAGACTGAACAACAAAGCAGACGGCATTGATCTGGTCGATGCCATTGTCACTTATTAAAAAATCATTGATGGCTTCTGTGATTTTTTTGTCTTGCGCCATTCCTTGGGTGTCACCAAATCCTGGGGTGTCTATCAAGGTGAAAGAATAAGGGATTTTATAACCGCTTTCATAGTTTAACTTGTAGACGGTAACTGGAGAGTCTTGGCTGTGAGCTTCGGACTGATTCATAACCTCATGGACCAGTTTAAATCTGAATTCATCTTTCCAATCCACACCGAGGATATAGTTGGTCATTCCATTGATGAGGGTAGTCTTCCCGGAGCCCATTTCTCCTATCAGTAATATGGCCTTATTAAGTGTCTCGGGATTTTCTCTTCCCAAACTGAAAGTTGGATACCCAGATCGTCTGCAGTCAGCCTGAAGCTTATATACAGAAGGTTGCCATTGTGTAAGCAATTTACTCTGTCTTAAGAGTCTATGGGCTGCTGTAGATACCCCTTCTCCTAACGTCTCACATTCTATCTCCTCGCTGGGAGCACTTTCTCCATCATCGCCACAAATGGCGCACACGCAGATTTCATACACAATCTTCTTTTTAAGTCCTTCAATAACACAGTTCTCTAGATTGCCTTCTGTGCATTTGTCCAGCCATGTTTTTGAATTCTTCACTTTATATTGAACTCTGTATTGTTTGATTTTAACCCCTGTTCCTACGATAGATGGCGTTTTCCAGAGTGCTACAATAGACGTCATCTCTGGTATAGCACGTGGAGTTACTGGCGGGCATGTTGGAAGGGTCTTCTCAGGTGCTGTCACCTCACTCATTACGCTATGCCCTGCACTGCACACTGCAGCGTATCGGAATTCATAGGAAGTGTTGGGATTTAATCCAGTTACTTCAATTTTTTCCGTTTTCTGTACATTTAAGGACAGCCAGACATCATCATGCACACATTTATGCTCCACTCTGAAACTTTTTATACTTTCCCTCCCTAATTCTGCAGGACGGAGGCTAAGCTCAATAGTGTTGTGGGTTTTCATTGTTATTACCATAGGATAAGGCTGAGATGGCAGCTTGAAATTTGTGTTAATCAACTCTCCTTCTTCATACAAGTAAATAGAAATCCCAAGGTTATTTGTGTCCGGGAGAGATGAAACTACAAACTGGGTCCGATTATTGTTGAGATTGGCACAAAAAAAGGCATAGAACTCCTTCACATATTGCCGAGCCGTTCTAGTCATCCCTAATTCTCCAAACCAATGTGGAGCATTCATCTTTTCATCGACCCGTCCAGGGGTAAATCTGTTCATGTCAAGCCAGTCATGAATATGCAACAAGTATGGGTCAAAGGAACTTAGTGAGGTAAAGTTAAAACATACCGTGAAATCAATGTCTGGCTTAATTACGGCTTCTCTCAGTTTATTCTCTGTGGGAACAAGCTGAATTTTAGGCAGCGCCTCTAGCAGAGACTTAATAAAGTCCATTTCATGTAGTATCTTCCTCAAAAATTCTGTAATATCAAGTTCTCTGAATGGTGACTCTTCTTTTACTTTTAAAATTTCCGCTAATGCTGCTTCGTCCATTTCTCCACCTCGAATAGAAGGCAGGGTTTGTGTGAGTTGCTTCTGAAACCCGAGTGTAAATTGTTCACAATATTCTCTAAACTGATGTATCTTTCTCTCAACATCTGGGAACGTCTCAGCAACTGGATGTTTCATCAGATCGTTGCATTGCATGTTCACTTCTGCCATTTGCTGGATGATGCTTTCTGTTTTGAAAACCAGATTGTCACCAATCTCTCGAACTAATGTGGCAGCTCTTTTATCCAGTTTACTCAGAGGATACAGCCAGACTTTCACTGGCACGGCTTTCTTCCCATTGTCTCCGAGCAGCTTTGGCA